TTCTTCCAGAGCATTATGTACAGTAACTCTTGGACATGAACGAGATGACAAATAAAACCCTTCACAAGATAAAATCACTGTGAATACGTTGCCAAAACTCATCTCAAAACAGAAACGCATTGAATAACGAATCATGATTTTTGTAACGGACGTGACACGAAATGATCTTTATCCAAAACTTCATTCATCCTCAGTTTAAAGTTGAGATTTTCAGAACAATTCGATAAGTTAGTGTGAATAAGGCCGTAAAGCACTCTGAATCTGTTCACATCTTCGAATATATTTGATTTCAAGCTTATATTTGAACTTGGAAGACAGTTGTGTTCGATGCCTTTGAAAATTTTCATAGTCAATATAAGAAACATTTTTCCTAGACAATCTTTTGAATGACCAGAAGCTATAAAAATAATTATTACAGTTGAACATCAGCATTGAAATGATGCTGTTTCCCGCGAATGACCCTCAGCAATACAGATAGCTTCTTTTATTACTAAGAAACATGTTTTCGATGTTTACTTGCAAACTACTTAAATATTTTCAGAATTAACTGGGATTCACACGAAAAAAATCAAAATTAATTATTTATCCTAATTAATTATTTATCCAAATAAATAATTAATTAATTGAATCTTTCTCAACGATTTTAGTCATGCAATCTCTTTGTGAAAAAATAATTAACGGCGGACGAAGAGGGTCTTTGAAAGTCGAACAATTTTAAGATTGAAAACTCAAGCAGGATATCGCATTTTTAAAGTTAAAATTCGATTCCTAAGTTCTAGTGCAGTATTTAGGATATGAATTTAATATCTGAACGTACTTTTGAAATTTTTAAAAGCATATCGAGGTTTTATTTTATAGGGATAAGTCATTCACTAGATCAGTACGTATACTGATGGTTAAATAAGCACTTTCGATTTTTGCTGCGTAATGATCGATATAAAGGTCTGACTTACGTGTAAGTGGAACGTTGTGACGCCCTTCTTTCAATAAGTTGCTCAATATCATCAAGTGCATTCCTGCATTTGTAAGTGTTTCTCATGCTGAAACTTTTTGTATTGTATTATGAACGAAGGAGATTAATAAAAAAGAATTCAATTCGTGAAACACATCGATGCTGCGGAGTGATAATAAAGTATTGCATATCCATATAATCCGAAATACTGACAATAATTTTATATGGAAAGGAAACAAAGTACAGTACTATAGCTGAAATAAGAAGTCTCGAAAATGAAACAATACTCGCAGTAACCTATAGAAACCAATGCAGTACTTGATGTTCCAAACAATCTTTGCTGGAGTAAACATTTTTACACGAGCACATTGAAAGAACAATGATCTGCCAGAATCGTGAAGAAATCTTTGAATTCAGTCAGCATACTCAGTATATTTACTCAATTGAACACCATCTTCCTAGTGTGGTTCTATTTTCAAATACAATTTCAGCATCGTTTCTATAAATGTTTTTTTCTTCGTTATTGGCGCTGCTAATCTTATTTTAATTTTGTGAACATCAACTCAAATACGAGGGATTCAAAAGATCATCTATATGCAAATGAAGCACCTGTATAATTTTTAACATATCGTCCGTGTTGCTGACTTTTTAAACTATAAACAAGGACGTGATAGTTATGTTTAAAATAGTTTGATTAGCTTTCCATGAATATTTTCGTCAAATTTCATTTTCTTTCATTTTCTGCGTCACTCTTTCTCAACAGAAATAAGATCTAATTCTTTTTAAATCAAAAGGCACTTCTTTTCAGATGCTGCTTCCGAACATTATAAATGGCCCTATAGTTCGGTTAACAAAGAACAATTTTTGAACAGTGAATGGCAGAAAATTTGATTAATTTAGAATTTTGGCAGGAGCTGTATCGGGTTCTTCGTCATATCATGTGTATATACTGCGGAAATACTGTAAATCTGACACACGAAGATGGATAGCGCTTATACAGTTCCTACTCGCCGGAAGGGAATAAAAAAATACTTTTTCACAGTTGGATGACACATCTAGCCTCGCATAACGAAAATTTTATCGGTTCATTAAACCAATTTTTTGCCGGTAAATCGACCATCAAAGACGTCGAGACAACGCCGCTGATCCCAGGTTAACGAGCGATAATGCGAAAATTTCCGCTGGACTTGGCAAGAAGATTTTCCGCATCACATATTTGAGACGGTGCATTGAAAAAGAGGAAATTGACAAATTAACCTCGAAAATCACTATGATGGAAATAAAAATGCTTTGAATTGTTTATGGACAAGCAGCAGAAATCAGGTGATATTGCAAAATCCAAGGATCGAGAACTTTCGAAAAATCGGTCTTTCGTTGGACGAAGAAAATTGAAATCCAAACTTTGATTCACATTAGAACAACTTATTGCTATGGAAACAAGAAGCTCTTTTCATCTCAATGAATCCAGCTCCGCAATTCTTTTTTTTAAAACATTTTTGGAGTCACTCATTCTCAGCACAAAAATATAAGTTCTGCTTTTTCGAAAATACGGTACAGGTCTTCTGAAACCTGAAACCCACCAAAAAAATATCACAAAAGAGGGCTTAGTCAGAGTTAATGAAGGGCAAGGGACACACTTTTTTGCAGTTTTTGCTTATGGACACAAAATCACCACCAAGCCCTAACACAGCATAGACATGAGTGCACAAAGGGATTTAAAGGGATTATTGGTTCATAAAATAGCTGAAATAACATGAAAATCAAGCTGGATATTAAATACAGTTGAACCTCTAAAGTCAAATTTCTAGGGACTCGGAAAAAATTTGACTTAGGAAGGTTTTGATTTTTGAAGGTTTTTGGTAAAGGAAGCAAACATTTCTACTACAAGGAAAAACAAAACAAAAATATGGAAAATTGTAGATGAGGCAATTCTGGGCCTAAATTTGCTTCTTAATGAGTTTACAGCTTGCTGAACTTTGAGGCAGGGGTTCATTTGTTCAATTAGTCTTTCACTTCATTTCAAGACGCATAAACTCATTTTTTTATAGATCTTCTCTTTCATATTTCAAGGAAATAATAACCAAAAGGCATCAGAAAATTTGACTTACAGAGGGTTGAGAGAAAAATACTTCAAGTTAGGGAGGTTTTTAACGAATTGTTGTAAAGGGAATCCAGACAGGGACTTGAAAAAAATTCAAGTTAGGGAGGTATTTGACTCGGGGAGGTTTGACTCAGCAAGGTTCAACTGTATAACTTTTTTTTTNATTCATCAAAAATAAATTTAAATAAGAATGTTGGGGCAGGGACTGAAGAAGACATTTCTCCGAAGCATGAACAAGATTCGTTGCAACAAGATGGAATTGGCTCTCCTCTGAATTTCGTTGAAAGAACTACTGCATGTGTTCACCATGGAACTTCACTCCGCGGATTTGAATAGACCCGCCGGACGGCATAGTGCACACTGGAGTACACCCTGCCTAGGTAGGGTGTACTCCTGGAGTGCATCCTGCCTAGGCAGGGTGCACTCCTGGAGTACGATTTTGGGGGGAGTACGCTGTGCCGCCCACACCGGGCACAGGCTCTATACTGCTGCTCGATCCGAGGCGCCGCAGCCGCCGCCGCCGCTGTCCGTACGCCGCCCGATTCGTCTCGCTTGCAGCAGTCGGACTGTGTTTAATTCCCCGCGAGGTGTTGTGTATAGGAGATATGATGCATCAGTGTTGGTGCTGCTGCTGGGGGAAGGGACCTCTTATTATTGAAGCATGCTTCAGGTGAAAAAGCTGATGTCCTCTCTATAATGAGCTGGACAATTCGAGACCAATAAATAATGCAACATTGGACTCAAGAAGTGCACATAGAATTTGATAACACACTTGAGCAGCAGCAGTTGAAAAATTATTAAAGTATGCTTCACCATCAGCAGTGGTGAAAAAGCTGATGCCCTCTCTAATGAACTGGACAATTCGAGACCAATAAATAATGCAACATTGGACTCAAGAAGTGCACATAGAATTTGATGACACTTTTGAGCAGCAGTTGAAAAATTATTGAAGTATGCTTCACCATCAGCAGTGGTGAAAAAGCTGAGGCCTTCTCTAATGAGCTGGACTATCTAAGACCAATAAATGCAACTTTTGGACTCGGTGCATATGGAATTTTATAACACACTTGAGCAGCAGTTGAAAAAATTCCTAGTGCAATAGCACAGAATTTCATAACTACAGTACTGAGACCCCAATATGTAGACATGATTGGTACTTGGACTTTGTCCCTATACTGTATTTCATAATGTCCACATGTTGTACTGTATGATGTTTTCACATAGCCTTCACTCCACTTCATCAAAAATTAGGAATAAGTCCGCCCAAAAAATAGAAGACAACTTTTTTCCTCAACGTCAAGATGCAGAAAATAACTGGGCAGAAGAAAACCATGCATAATCTGATCTTTTGGCATCATAAGGAATTCAAGAGAAAAGAGCAAGAACAAGTTTTGCTATAATACGCACAGATGATGTATAATACTCCAAAAAATAAGCCAAAAATCAACCTGTTCATGATCATAAGTTTATAGCAAAAATGCATTCCCAATATTTATAAATGTAAGTACTAAAGATCAATTTGTTCAAGATATATCCAAATTTTGAAAAATATGAGCTTTCCATTGTTCTTGAAATGCTGGAAAAGTTTCCACATTCTCATTACAATCAATATTTTAAGGCATTTGTACGTTGGGGTCTCACTGTACCTTATTTATTTCATGCACCCTCAAACAAGACTTGCCTTGATATTATATGCCTTTAATTTCAGGAAAGAACAATTTGTGTGTAGTGTAATTATGCTTTAATTGAATTGCTATGATCAAGATGGGCAAACTTTCAAAGTCGGATTTTCTTCATTGATAAATTTCGATTCAAGATTGGGTTATGTGATTGACATAATATTAAATGGTTTAATTACACACAGGTGTCGTTTCATCATTACCAATACCATACTAAAATGTTGATCTATTTATATTTTCAGGTGATAATCAAAAATATCTTCACTTGAAATTTCTGGGGAAGTGCCAGGGATCCCAGGAAGTAAAATATCTTTATCTTCTTTCAAAATAAGCTTTTTGGGCATTTCTCACACCAATTTACCATCCATTTAGCTAATTTAGAAAAAGTACCTCAAGCATAGATGGACTTCCATTCTCTCTTTTTCTCTTGAATGTTATTTTTACAAAGAATGCCTACATTTCTATGTTCTATACAGAGGTATCAGTATTCAATTCCCCAAATGTCCATATGGAGTTGAAATATATTTATTGAATCAGTTTAAATTGTGATACAATTTTTATTTTCATGGAATTATGGTGAGTTATTTTTTCAGTAAAACACCAATTAAAATTTATATAATGTGAATCTAAGGGTAAATGAGATCTTGACTTGGGGACACTCTTTATATGCATCAATTATGTCCGCATCTTGGGGTCTCACTGTTTAAATATGTGTGACTGTTGAAATTCTATCCCCAGGATTTAAAAACCCTTGACGTAAAATCCAAGGCACTCCTGTGTATTACATATAGAATCCTTTCCACCTGAGACTAACGGATTATTCCACTCTCTCAATTCTACTGACTACTGTATACATAAAGCCTATACTCCGCATATTCATTACTGAACTGAACTCACGGCAGTTCGGGGGGGGGGGGGGGAAATACGCGACGCGACATATGTTGACATTTATTCGTCCCATGTCCATTTCGAACTTTTGCAACTGAATTTTGAATGGCGGGATGATTCGTCGTCGGACCCATAACGAGCAGTTTCAAAATAAAAAATAATTACCGTATAATAAAATGGAAATCAGCGTTCAATGTTCGCGACTCGGAGAGATAAGATTCGTCACACAACATTGGGCACGCGTTGGAATATGAATGTCGAAATTCTGTGGCTCAACATCTCTGTTGGAATACCAAGTGCTCATTCAGGTACGCACCAGCACTGGACTGGAGTATCAAAATGTGCATAATCATTCGCGTTTCAACTTCTGTTTATACATAGAAAACAAAATTACTGTATTAAATAACTTTCGCAACTGTATTCTACATCCGGCAGCAGTGTATTCAGCGTGCATACATAAAAACCGACTGATGATCCGTGCATCACGACCTTCAAGAAAAAGTGCGAAATAATGCGCTTCAAAGATGAAGGATGAATTTTTAATTTCCGCAATAAATACTGTACTTTCCATGTTGTGAGACTTTACATTGAGTTCGAGAACACATTCTGACATGATGCTTCCTTAAATATGTACTCATTGAGCAATAAAAGACCGAGAAATAAGTGAGACGAGACGAGCACGTTTTCAATTGTAGTCGGTGAGGCTTTTTCATAGTAACTTCTGTGTTCGAAAAATGGTTCCCAACTTTAAAGATTGATTAGAATTGATGAATTTAGATGTCTGGTTTGAAGAAAAATGTTCAAATGCGAAGAAAAATCGGGATCAGCTTTGTTTATGAAAAGAGAAACCATGAGTGACAATAGTGAGAACAAAGCTTACGGACAGTCGGTCGTCGTGACATGAAGAATTTTGTCTTTTAGCGTTAATTGTCATTTTCAAAACTTATAACTTTCTAAATAAACCCAAAAATAAATTATTTTAGTAATTCAGATTTTCTGGGTCAATTTTTTTTTCAATTTATGGCCAAAATTATTAAAAATAAATTAATTATACTAATGCCAACAAGGAAGACGACGATGCGGTAATAGGAAACCGCTTCCTGTTCTACACAGAGGTGTCAGTCGAAGATGTTCGAAAAAAACGTTGAAAGAGAAAACTCGTAAGATTGCCAGAAGGATTCTCAGACCAAAAACTCTCAATTGTGGAAGCATCCCAATTGTAAAAATTTCGAAAATCCTGAAGAACTTAAAGAAAACAACAGAGAAACAGAAGGAATATGTTCGGCTTCAGTTATTTAACGTTTCCTTCCACTGTAAAAAAAAATGCACACCCGGTTGTTGTTCTATATGAAAACAGCAGTCGGGAACAAACCGAAAGCAGTACAGTTAAATATCCGATTCAAGCGTTAATTTAATAAAAAGAAACGCTTCACCATTCATATGAGAATTTTGGGTTTTAAATGCTGACTAAATACGTAAAGGAAAATATTGAACAGCAGTGTAGGTACAATATGGATGAAAGCACCGAGGAATTTATGTATTAGCAAAATTATCAGCAACCCACAGAAATTTCAGTACCTAAAGATATTTCCCATGCCATTTCTTACTGCACATTACATTGAGGCATTTGATGAAATCCATCGAAGAAATGAGGTATAACAGCGACATCATGGAGTAGTCCTTTATTCCCGCTTTGAATATTTTGCACTAGATGTCGTTGCTACGATAAAATGTGAGTTATCCACTCCAGTGTCAAAATATCGCAATCTTTAAACAGATAGAATCCCGGAAACGCGACAGATCTTTTACGTTAAGAGAGAGAACAAGATCGAAGAATCAGAATAAAGTATCGAAGGAATACAAAAATCACGTTTTATTCGACGCAATGCGGAATAATCAACCCCATCGCAAGGGTTTCTTTACTCGAGAAAGCAAAACCGCAGAAAGGCTCCTGTAATTCGATAAAACAGCAATTACTGTTGCACTTGGCATTTAAAAAGTTCGCAGAATTCGTGCTTCACGGAATCACCTGGAATTTCTTAGCAGCAGGTAAAGCAAAACCGCTAGAGCGTACAGGATCAAGGAGAAAATATTCATCGGAATCGGTAGCACGACGATCAGCATGCAACAATAGATCGTTAAATTTTCCATCATCAAAATTAAACGGGGTTAACCTTTCATATATTCCGGATATTGTGCGAAGTAAGCACAAAGAATCCCTAGATGTACCGTACTTCAACAACAATACGTGAATTATTATTCTTGGAAGCGCCGAGAAATTAAAAAAAAAAAGGAAAAAAGTATTACCACTTCCTCGCGTCAAATTATTTCAAAAGAAGCGTTATCAGCGATGGAAAACGATGAAGTTCCACATGATAAGTTGGGGAAACGGCGAAATGGAAGTCTGACAAATCGCGAAAAGGACACTTCATGGAAGAAGAAGTCAGTTAGCAAATTAAAGAGGCAAGGATGAAGAATTGCCATCAGAAAAAATAATCATATAGGTTTGGTTAAGAGAAATCTGTATTTCCAGTGCAAAATCTTCGACAACCGCATTGAAAAAATGTTGATCATAAAAGTAATAACGCGTCCATTGTAAAATCCCGATTTTAACGCCAGCAACACAAAGCATAGAAAAAAAAATGGAACTCTGGATACCTTATTTCTCAAAAACACTTTCCAAAGCTCAAGTCATTTGGACATGGAAAAATCAATGCTTGTCTTTCTTATTGTAATGGTCGTCATCGTCATCATCGTCGTCATGATCTGCCCCTTTGTGGCCATGATCATGATGATCGTCATCGTCGTGGTCATGGTGTTCGTCGGATTCCTCATGATGGCTGGGTTCTGGTTCAGGTTCCGCCTCTGGTTCGGGTTCAGGAGCCGGTACACGAGCGGAAACTTCTGTAAGGATCACAACTTTTTCAACCAAAAATCAACTCCACGGCATGATATAATTCGTGAAGAAAATTTCTATTTAAAATCATCCGTAAATTTACCTGCAACCCCAACCGGCGAATCTTCCGCCTTTCCCATCATCTCCGATGCAGATTTCGTGGCATTGCTACCCTCCTCTGTGGCATTCTTCGACTCAACCACAAACGGAATATCCGTGCCATTCTTCGTTTCAGCAGTCTTGGATGAATTCGCCGAAATCTCATCCGAAGAATTGCCCGCAGCGCTACGGAGAGAAGCAGCTCCGCAATTTACGGCACAAACAGCCAAAAGAACCATCGCAAGAAACATAACCTTTTCCATTTTAAAAAAGTTTTCCCACTTGTCACACCGAGCTCGGAGATCAAAAACACTTCACAACACCTACAAGTGAAAGAAAATTCTATGATATCAGCTGAAATACGAAAGTATCACAATAGAAGGAAACGTAAAACTGCCAAATCGCCACAAAAATTATGAAATTTTCCAAAGCTCCGACACATCGGAACATTCTGAGTATACTGATGAATCCTCGTCAAGGGGTTACAGCTTTTATGAGATCAGCCTTGTAAAAAAATGTGAACAATTCACTGCGTCAAACTGAAACAAGTTACTCCGAAAAAATGTATAAAAGCCGTTACATTAAAAAAAATGAAATTTTCTCGCTCACGAATCACAAAGAATTACTTGTTCTGAAACAATTCCAGATGCAAGTTTGACCGCAGACCTGAGTAAAAACAATTTCAACAGCTTGAAAAGAACACTTTTTCTTCGGAAATAAACCGGAACTAGTAGCTCTAAGAAAAGAAGAATTCTTCAAGAGATAATTTCTTGATTTGAAAACGAAAAACCGGCAAAAATAATTCATTTTTTCTGCAACGTATGCTGAGCAAACTTCATCGGATGCCTGAAATTTAGTTTTAAAAAAAAACGAAAAATAGCGCAGCGTGATGAAATCGATTTTTTCTGCTTTAAAAATTTTTATGCTAGTACAATGCATTTGGAAAATTTCGTTAAAAAGTTCGCTTGTGTGTTCAAAAACATTGGAATTTGCAACATTCAAAATTCAATTTAATCGCTCACGAGCCAAACCAACGACTCATCGTAGAAAATAAAAACTTGGCGAAATCATGCCCACGTCGCAAGTCGAAAGTCCTCGCATATATGTCACAACATTGCCATTTTCCGTTTGCGTTCAGTCACAGAGAAATAACTTAATTTTGCATGATGAAGACAAATTTGACCAGCATCATATATCAGCTTTCTTCGTGGAACATCAAGTCGATGACGACTTCTCCGACTTTGATGAAAATGCGACGTTTTCCGTCCGGTTCCGATAGTCGAGATATCGGAGTGATTTTGAATTGCCCATCTGGACTCACCCGGAATTTCGCAGATCTTGGTTTTTCGTGCCCATCTTTCACTTTGTAAGAGCCTGAACAATTCAAAGGAGCCGTCACACGCATGTTCACCATATCAACGCCGAATGGGAACACGATATCCATTTGGTTGTTCTTCTGCGGATAACAAAACAGGTAACAGAAACATCAAGAAAAGCTGAATTCATTCCTTCAAAAACGTTACTTTAGAATAATAAAAAAAATTCGTCAAATTTCAGCCATGTCACTTATACGAAATGTAAAAAATTAGGAATAACGTCCTAGTGTACAGTCGTGGTTATTAATAGGTTTTTAAGTTTTAAAGTCCCCTAGTTTGCTTGTTTATCAGTAATTTAAATGTTGGGTCATTTTTAAAATAAGTAGGTAAGTTCATAACTGGTAAGAACTAGAATTAGGAAATCTGATTTAATTACATAAGTAACAGTAGTAAGCTGATCGAAGTAAACCAAACCAACTATCCGCGTTTAATTAATTCCTCGTGAAATTGTTGTATCTTTTATAATTGTATGCATTGCCAGACTTATCAACAAAGTTCAAACGAATACTGCAAGGTAAAAAAAAAAATACAGTACAGTACGTATATATTTTTATGACGGTTTATTGTTTATTCTGATTCTCTGCGCGAATGAAAACTGATGAAAAGCGACCCCATTTAAATAACGACGTTGTTCATTTTAATTTAAAGTTGTCTTGAAAGCCTAACTTTGCAGTATATTTTTGAATTTTCCGAATCGATTGGCAAAAAGAGAGCAAGAAAATTCTCGCATATTTTCTTTTCACGACGTTATTTCGCGAATCCGTGGCTCAATATTTTTTTCCTGTGGGAATTCAAACGACCTGCGACGTCATGACGCAATAATTTTCCGCAGAAAAATCTCGAACTCGCAAGTAATATGAGGTCAAAAACCCCGAAAAGCTGTTGATATATACAATAACTACAACAGAAAATTCTGCCGAAATTTTTTATAAACTACATTTTAAAAAATTCTACCGATACACGAACTGTCATCCTTTCAAAAAGGCAGAAAAGTTGCCTAAATTTGTGTTTTAATTTCATGCATTGTTTTATCTAGAAAGAATAAAAGAATATTTCCAACCTTGGTGTGAGGAACTTCGGCATGTTTTTCTTCACGAACCGAACTTGTATTGGAGTTCGAAATCGTCGAATTCCCGTCGACCGTGACACCTTCCGGCGTGACGATCACTTCCGACTTCCGGGATTCAGAGGGGGCGTCGGAAAGTGTCGGATTATTACTTGACGACGACCCGTCAGCGTTATTTCGCTTTTCTTTCAAATCTGCCAGAATTTCATTGATCGATTTCGGTCCAGCTTCAGAGTTGGTGGAATTTTCAATTAGCCCAGTGCTTTCTGGGCGAACAGGAAGACTTCCGACTGCTCCTATACCCGATAACTTGATCTTGGACGAAATTTTGGACAAGTTCCCCTTTTTGAGTTTAAACAGCACGACATCCATGTCAACTGGAGGAGTTTTGGTTTCTAAAATTGTAGCGGGCGTAGAATGAATTAGTCGTTCAATTTCTAAAATCCATTTTTCTCTAACCGAAGATTGATTTTCGGAGGTCAGATAACGACTCTTCAGCAGATGAAGCTGTTGAGTTGGTTTGACCTTTCAGATTCTCGTCACTGACTGCTTTCGGTGCAGGCAATATTTTCTCCGATTGTGCGCTTCCAACAGGCAGCTGATCTGAATACAGTACAAAAATTGAAAACACTGTACGTCAATAAGTTTAAAAATGATTAACAAGAGTTCAAGTTTTTACGACGGCACTCGATGCCAAAGGCAACCCCAGAAAAACAAAGAACAAGAAGCACTGTAGGTAAAATAGTGGAAGCTGTTTAGCAATGAAAGTGAAAAGAAAACTAAGAAAGGACCAAACGCAGTTTCAAGAGATTATTTTTCGGATTATTAGAGAATTAAACTGCGCACACTCTCAGAATTCATGAAATGATGCACATTTTTTAAAACATATTTCGCATAGATATTTAAAAACACTGTACATCAATAAGTTTAAAAATGATTAACAAGACTTCGAGTTTTTACGACGGCACTCGATGCCAAAGGCAAAGCCAGAAAAACAAAGAACAAGAAGCACTGTAGGTGAAATAGTTGAAGCAGTTGAGTAAAGNCCGACTGCTCCTATACCCGATAACTTGATCTTGGACGAAATTTTGGACAAGTTCCCCTTTTTGAGTTTAAACAGCACGACATCCATGTCAACTGGAGGAGTTTTGGTTTCTAAAATTGTAGCGGGCGTAGAATGAATTAGTCGTTCAATTTCTAAAATCCATTTTTCTCTAACCGAAGATTGATTTTCGGAGGTCAGATAACGACTCTTCAGCAGATGAAGCTGTTGAGTTGGTTTGACCTTTCAGATTCTCGTCACTGACTGCTTTCGGTGCAGGCAATATTTTCTCCGATTGTGCGCTTCCAACAGGCAGCTGATCTGAATACAGTACAAAAATTGAAAACACTGTACGTCAATAAGTTTAAAAATGATTAACAAGAGTTCAAGTTTTTACGACGGCACTCGATGCCAAAGGCAACCCCAGAAAAACAAAGAACAAGAAGCACTGTAGGTAAAATAGTGGAAGCTGTTTAGCAATGAAAGTGAAAAGAAAACTAAGAAAGGACCAAACGCAGTTTCAAGAGATTATTTTTCGGATTATTAGAGAATTAAACTGCGCACACTCTCAGAATTCATGAAATGATGCACATTTTTTAAAACATATTTCGCATAGATATTTAAAAACACTGTACATCAATAAGTTTAAAAATGATTAACAAGACTTCGAGTTTTTACGACGGCACTCGATGCCAAAGGCAAAGCCAGAAAAACAAAGAACAAGAAGCACTGTAGGTGAAATAGTTGAAGCAGTTGAGTAAAGAAAGTAAAAAAAAAACACGCAAAAAGGACCAAGTGCAGTTTCAAAAGATTATTTTTTGGATTGTGGGAGAATTAAACTGCGCACACTCTCAGGATTCATGAAATGATGCACATTTTTTAAAACATATTTCGCATAGATTATTTTAATTTTTTAAAGTGTAATAAACTTCATATGTTCATAGCCGTGATGTTGAAGTCGGCAGGAATAAATGTAAAATTATGTCAAGCTTAGGTGAGCTTGACATTTTGGCACGATTATCTGCATAAACTACGTTCAATTGCACATTTTTGTTCGCCATTTTCAAAAGGGCAAATAATTTCGGAGTTTACTATACGCTGGGTTTCATGGATTCAGAATCCCCACAGTTTAATCGAAAAACTGTTTTCTTAAAAGACAAAGTAATTTTTTTTCATTTCCTTACCCGAGTCATCAATCCCCATTTTCTTCTGCATCGACTTTTGTTCGTCAAGTCGCTGATTCAATTGCTCTTTCAGAAGCATTTTGCGCAATTGCTCATCCATTAATAAATGATGAAGTGGCCGGAGATTTGGCTGACCTGGGAACCCCTGGTTTCCAACTAAATCTGCGTTCCCCGCCATATGATGGTGTCGAAGATGACCCATGGGAGAATCCCTCAAGTTTTCGCAATTGTGATTGAGAAAATGCCGATTTTTGCGTCGTTCGATGCGATCAGACTTCGACAATTTTGTAGGGGCTTCTGTATAAATTAAGCGGACAGGATAATTCAGAAACTATTCTACTAAACAAGGATACAAAATTCTGGGAACCCATATGGAAGTTATCAAAAAGAACTTACCATCTTTGAATAGAACATGATGTTTATTCACATTCGTTCCATTGTGGATTTTGATTCCATGCTCCAAAACAATTGAGTCACTTTTATTGGCACTTTCCAATGGGTCACACAAACACGAAAAAGATTATTTTAATTTTTTAAAGTGTAATAAACTTCATATGTTCATAGCCGTGATGTTGAAGTCGGCAGGAATAAATGTAAAATTATGTCAAGCTTAGGTGAGCTTGACATTTTGGCACGATTATCTGTATAAACTATACGCT